GGGAGAAGCGGGGCTGGAAAAAGAGCAATCCACAAAGTGCAACCATTCCTAAAGAATGCGAAAGCTCAGCACAAACCGCTGCCCACTGCGAATCAGCAGCGTGAATAAACGCACCTACCAAGGTCAGTGAGAGATCAGCCACCCACTGGGCATTTGGGTTGAATGTGACAGCTCCTGAACGCCCTGTTTTCTTTCTCCATGAGACTGCCACATAGATAAAAAAACTTAATTTCTCCAGATTTTGTGTTTCTTTCTATTTTTACTCTAAGTGCTTGAGAAGCCCTGCTTAACCCCTGCCTCACCGCGACCTGAAGAGCAGTTCCCTGGTTTTACACCTCACGGATTCTTTCCTCGCTCCCTTTCCAACTGCCGCATCAACTCCTACGTGTCCACACCTTCCTGGTAACGCGCCTCGACACGACCAAATGATCAAAGGGAAGTCAAGAATTTATAGCTGCTGAGAAACACGCTCCAGACCAAAGGCAGCGCAGGAGGCTGGTGCAGACGTAGCTCCAGTGGACAACGGCACAGGAACCTCGTACGCAGCAGCCCGAACGCCGGATGGGATACGCGATCAGATCAGTCTTTTTGCCTACCAGAGTACGGATTGCTGCTCAGGCTGCCATCTCTTCCAGTCAGCGGGGGGGTGGGGGTAGGGAATGGGATGCTGTAGTAATCCTGAAGGATAAAAACAAAAGGAGAGGAAGTTTTATGAGCTCTGTCCAAAGGTGCAAAGCAGTATCTTTTGGAAAAGATGGATTTCTGGACTGCAGCTGCTAGATTTGTTGGAGTATTGCAGTTCAATCAGCCACATCACGGCTGATCACAGCCTACAGGAACCCCAGGTTTTTGTAGCATGCACCATCCCCCTTGTCTGGCTATCAGAAGAACCAGATAAGGTCTACTGGTATGCAGCCCTTAAACTGCCTGGACTTTCCCCACCGCAACACAAGGGACGCGTGTCGTATCGCTAAATAAAACCCATTTTCATAAAAGTATTTAGTTACTGCCTCTTTCAAGGATCAGAGACAAGTATCTACAACAGCTCCTGACACCACTGTCGAGGCGAAACAGCTTTGCCTGCTGTAGCTTTCTCATTCCCTAGCCCCACCATCGATACCTCTGTCTGAATAACTACTGCTCCTGACTCCCCAAGTGCAAAGGAGCAACTGATGAACTCCTCGCTGCTGCCACGGAGAGGTGCATCCGCTTCGCACCCTGTTCTGCCAGCTCTTCGGGACCACCTCCCAGCCCGTACACCCAAAGGACGCCGCACCGGTGAGCTGCGAGCCCAGTGGAAGTGGTGGGGCCACGTCAGTCTTCAGTACTCACCAATGGGAATCTCGTCTGGAGCATCTGCAAGTCGTCATATCCGTACACCTGTGGCTAGAGAAAGAAAACAGGAGATTATGTTAGGGACGCAGACTGAAGACACTTATCTAATTTTAGATTAAACCTTTAGATAAACATTAGAGAAAGCCAGAAGCAGATGATCAGAGGCTAGACAATCACCGAGGCGCAGGCAGCCACCATTCACTACCGTAAGACTGGCACTGCCACGAGTGTTTTTATGAGCTGCTCAAATGAAGGGTGAGCGCCAACGCCTAGCGCCGCTGCTCCAGACCACAAAGGCACTCGACAATGTTCCTCTGGAAATTATTCTGACGCCGCAATCTGTCCTCACCTTCAGAAGAGGGCTGTGACGCACCCCTAGACTTTGTGGCAGTTCTGACTGGTTGGCCTTTGCCATACCGCGTTGCTAATACAGCTCCATGCTTTCGTGAGCCGTGCTCTGACCAAGGGCTGTTGCTCCCCAAAGGTTGGGGAGGCTGTAGAGAACAGGCAGACAGAATCTGCTCTGGGGTGACCCCAATTACAGACATTTACCCCCATGGGCGCATGGATTTCCTTTGTTACTCTTTTATGGAAGACAGCAGGTCCAAGCTCTTCCCATTTGAGGCAGTTCTGCTGGGCTGATGTTACAGTTTCTGGTTTCTCTACTCTACTACATCGCTCCCTGCGAGCTGAAAGAGCTAGGAGGGATCTAGCGGCATGACACGACTGCAAAGAGCCGGTCGTCCCACTCACCGGGTACGCGTGTAGCAACCCTGGAGCCATGATGTACGGATTAGGCAACAACGGTGGGACTCCAGGAGGGAGATTGGGAGGGGCTTTTCCTGAAAAAGGAAAAAAAAGGATAAGTTCCACAGTGAAGCAAACAGCAGAAGCTGTCTCTCTTAGCCCCCCCACCCTCCTCCTGTGTAGCAGTACCCAGGAAAGTACCTGATGTTGTTGCAACAGAGCTGCGAGTCGAGGCCGTCACCGTGGAGTTACTACTGAGGCTGAGGCCCAGGCTGCTGACGCTGCTGAGACTGGATGAAACGCTTACAACTGGCGGGGCAGCTGACACTGTGCTGGAGGAGGTGGAGAAAGTGCTAGCAGAAGAATGGAGGCTTGCTTCACTCTCCACACTTGTGTGCTAGGGAAGGAAGGGAAGAGAGTTAGGGGACCAGGTGGACGTAACTGAGCGCAGAAATATCGCAGGACGCAGTCTACGCAAAATATTGTGCGGGTCTGTCTGCACCCGGACGTTCCCGAGAGCCTGCAATGAATTCGGCTGCTGCAGGCTACAAAGAAACCTGCTTTGCATCTGGCTTAAGTCCAAAGTCCTGATAGCAGCCAACCCCTAACGCTTCCAAGCCTCTCATGCGGCTGTGTCCCAACATGTCTGTCTGCTGGGAGAAGCAGGGCTGAACACCGCATTTGCAGCAGGGAGGTTTATTCTGCTGCAGAAGCCAATACCCAGTGACTCTGTGCTGCAGGAGCTCCAGCAGTACATGCGTTTGAACAGTGACACTCCATCAGCTACCGGTTTGCTCTGACATCTGGTTTCAACTCAGCAGCACTTTCAAGAGCTGCTACAGGCTCAAAAGAACGCTCTGAAACAGGCGGGGTGTCAAAAGCCTGGAGCCAGAGGTGCATAGAGAGCATTCTGACATAACCCTCTGTCAGACAGACAGGGTGTCATAACGTCCAAACTCCAGCGGGACAACCGGCAGCCCAGCAGCTCCCAGCACAATGGCAGACCCCGCCGGCCGCACGCCCAAGCTTGGCCACGCCAGCAGACCTCTCCAAGCCGCGCAGGAATAGGGGTACGCGGCACTAGAGCACTCCTAGACTCACCAGAAGAGTTGAAGTTGACGTTCGCCCAGAGGATGTGGATGAAGACAGGCTGTTCTGCTGGGCAGGTAACGTACTGCGGAAGGAGGAATAACAGGTTGTCAAGATGCGAGAGTCACCATCGGCAGCACCAGGCCAGATCCCATTCCCCATCTACTCAGACGGAATGAGTCACCTCAGTCTTCCCCACTGCATGGGACAGACTTTGATGTCTACTACTTCTGGTTCTGCTTTTCTAGAAACCCATCCGCCACGCCTGCTCACCTGCTGAGTTGGGCGGTGGTTGTACTGGGGAGTTCCTCACTGTGGCTCAGGCTGCTCAGAGCTGTCGAGTGTTGGCTGGCTGTGGTCAGCAAGGACGATGCAGACACCCCATCGTTGAGAGGCGTGATACTGGGAGCAGAGGGGGAATCGGATTTGACTGCGGGGCCTGTAGCACCTGTGAACAAAAGCTTTGGGTTAGGGGCAGCTACTAACAGCTCCCGGAGGGCAATTCAGTGGTGAGGATCAGCGAAGGCTCAGCTAGAGGGGCTGGGAGATCTGGGGCTTCCCTCGCTGCTGCCAACCAGTTACACACTCGCGACAGCATGACTGTGTTCTACGCCCCACTTTACCCCAACACCGCCATCGGCTCTGCAAAGAGCTTCAAGACCTACAGATGCGGTACCTTTCACAAACAAATCAGAGTAAATTATTGTCATCAGGGAGTGACTCATCAAGGATCTCATGGATCCATCAGCAGAAAGCTGAACATTTCAAGGCAAGCAAATAATCTGAGTGGCAGCAATTAGTCCAGCAGGGAAAGGACTTGCTATTAGCACAGATAAAGCTTTTCATCCAAAGCAAAGAATAGGAGCAGCACAAGAGACTCAGGACACCCACTGCACTGACAGACTCTTACCTTCAACGGCCTGCGTGGTTTGTAATGGCGTGGGTTGTACAGAACTGAAACCATTCTGAGGAAGAAGAGAAAAAGAGCACTGGGCATTGCAGCTGCTCGTTTCCAGAGGCAGATCTAGTGTCAGCCCCCTCCCACACTCCCTCCTCAGTTGTGAAAAAGGGGTGCTACCAACACGGGTCACCAGACCGCGTCGGAGTCAGTCCGAAGCTCAACTAGCCCCACGCCAGCATGACCCTCGAGCGCGTATTTGAGAAAGCAGTGCAAGAAGTTTCTCTGCTGCTGGTGGTTAGACTGGATCAACACCCTCAACCCAAGTTCGCTAGCCAAAACCGATGTTACTGAACTTGGGTGCAGCATGCAAGAATCAAATCCTTAAGACAAAACTAAATCCTTGGCTTGAACGCCACTCTGCAGCAGGGTAATTATGCGTGACGTGACACAGCCTGCAATCAACTTACCCGCTATTAACCCCACTGGCCCAGCCCCAGGTAAGTAACATAGCTAAGGGCTCTGGTAGCACCCAGAAGAAAGCTCCTCCACGTGGCTTGTGGACTCGTGAGATCACAGAAACACTTGATAAACCACTTAGCTTTCCCCGAGACAGTGCTTCACACGTTATGCTTACTCAGCACAAAGCACGAGCAAAGCTATTTTCCTACCTTGGCCTGGGTCAGATCTTTCTGGGGCGAGGAGGAGATTGAATTTGGGTATCGCCTCGTCTGGGTGGATCTCTGTTCGTACAGTGGTCCCTGAGCGCTGTTCTGGGAGGTAAACGTTGCTGTCTGTATTGTGCCGCTCTGGTAACCAGACTCCTGGCTTTGATTGGACGAAATTGTGGATGAAGATTCACTACAAAGGGGAAGGAAAAAAAAAAAAAAAAGAAAAGGAGTTTACGTTTTCCTCCAAAACAGCCCCTGCTGTAAGCCGCTGACCCAGACTGTAGGCTCTGCATTTCAAATCTTCACAATAAAGAGCCCCAAGCATCAGCATAAGGGCACCACGCAAAGCAGCCAAGCAACCCAAGCAGAGAAAGATACCCCAACAAGGACTAGCCCAGCCGCAGGAGGATGCTGGCACCTAGCTGCAGCCTTGCCTCACACACTGCTGCGCTCGAGGTGACATTTCATGAGCTGCCACCACTCAAGGGACTGGCCAGATCCTAAGGATCAGCCCAAGAGAAGACAGAAACACTTCGCTTTGGCAAGGCATCATCACCATAGATCCACCTACGCCACTGCGTCCCAGTTTGCCAGGCAAAAAGCAGGACACAGGCACACGGAATCTGTTCACCAGGGACAAGGAGCAGTTGCGCTGGGGATTCCCCCCCTGTGTTTCCAGCAACACAGTTTAACGGCAGCAGGAAACGTCTGCTTTCTGTATAAGTACCACAGGCCAATCAGTCACAGAGCTGCCTGAATGAGTCTGCCGGCAACTTACGCTTTGCTGTTGCATACGTTGTCCCCCCTTTGTGACTACGGCACAGTCAGAAAGGGTCTACTAGTATGCAGCGGGACAGAAGTCCACAGGACCAGCTACCTTCCAAAGCTACATTCTCGGATAAATCGTTCCTTTCCTCGCGCCCAGTCCTCACCTAGCCGTGCTGGTGTACAGGCTGCTTTGAGATTGGCTAACGGCAGCGCTTGTTGTGGGCGTCGATTCGTACTCCGCGAGAACAGGCTCCGAACCAAACTGTAACGCCCCAAACTGCAGGTTTAGCCCTGAGATATCCGCTGAGCCAGGCATTTCCACCGCAAGTGCAGGAATCTGCAAGGGAGGAACAACAGAAAGGGTCAATCGCGCCCTGGATAAGCACAGAAAATGACTTTAGCATCCACATTTCCCAGCACATAACAGTAGTTACAGGCTTGCATCCTCTGAATTACAGTGTTCAACCCAGGCAAGCAAGCTTTTCTCCGTCACCCCCACAAACACCCAACGCTAACAGCAGGAAGGCCAAGCCCAGCCCTTCCCTCGCCAGCCCAAATGGATTTTTCTGCAGCTCTAACACAATACAACGCCTCCTTCCCCACCAGCCATCCGCACCTTTGATGTTAACGATGCTTTTTTCTTTTGCTGCTTCAGCTTCTGCTGGGCTGGCTGGGGACTGGAGGACTGGTTGTCCGAGGACCCTGGGGACATCTGGGGAACAGGATTGGTTTTGCTGGGCAGCGGTGAGGAAGGGGGTGCCGGCACGGTTGTGGAGGCAGTCACCACAGGCTGTTTCTCCTGCATGAACACTTCTATCATGGTTGAAGTTGACGTGAAGGCCTGACGCTTGAAGGGACTATGCACAGAAGAGTCTGTTGGGTTCTTGAGATCTACCGGGGGAGACAGAGTTGAGTTAGCAGGATTTGGTTCCTTAAAACCAAATCAAGTTCTGACACTTCTCAGCACCAAGAAAAATAAAATCATTTCACACCACGACTCCACCTGAAGCCTGTTAAAATCACAGAGCAGAGAACCCCAGCATCTCCGCTCCCAGCCTCGCGCTCTCACCACCATCAACAACGACCCTTTTAAGCCCTTCTCCCCTCAGCTCCTTCCACCATCTCTACAGGACAACGAGAGCTTGCACGGCAGAAGTCCTCCATCCTCCGAGAAAAGCTGGACTTGAGAGCCCCTTGTGCGGAGGCACTGCGTGTCGGAGTCCTGCACGCTCCTGACGCCGCTTCCTTCCCCCTCTCTGCCAACACTGCTGCGTTTCATCGCCTGCTCTTTCCCCTGCAAGTACTGGGTATCCTCCAAGCACCACCGCTGCTCGGGGCTGTCCACCCTCAGGTCTTTGCACAACCGCATCACCCTCCTCCTTCGCCTAAGCCTTACTGCAGCTTATTAAAAACCAACTCCTATTCTCTCTGACTCTCCTCTGTGGCTCCTTGTCTGAAAAGATCAGGAGCTGCCAATGCTGACTGTTACTAGGCCAGGGCTCAATTTTTCTTCAGCTTAGATTTGAACCAGAGCCACTTCCCCATAGCAAGAAATAAAACGCACAAGCTGAAAGAAATGGCACTAGTACTCAACCACGGCAGGGCTCGGCATCTCATCTGAAAAGCCGGAGCCTCTCTTAATCACTGTTTATTCCCTCGTGCCAGCCCAGAGGTAGAGTTACTTCTTGGCATTTAACAGTCACCAGAATTGCATTCCTTTAAAAGACAACACGGGGCCAGCAGCTGACTGACAAGTGTTGGCACTCGGGAACTATTCTCCAGAGGCGCCCACTTTCGGACCCCTTCTGTTACACAGCTTTACACCAGGAACGGTTCTGCACACCGCGAGGGTCTCGGGAACGCCACGTCCCTGGGACTGAAGCTGGAATGACCAAGAGGTAAACGGATTCAATTGCCCTAAGTATAAGAGGAACCGGGGCAGACTCACATGCACTATTACATTTTACTCTCACAAACTTGCACCCATGGTTCTTTTAATTTCACAGTTGGCTTGGCTGTGAACTTGTGATCTGGCCCTTCACCGAATCCCTCACACCGCTGCCTGCAGCGCGTTTCTGCGCTTCTGAGAGAACACGCTCCCCTTTAGCGAGCCACCCCGCTTTTCCTTACCATACTGCACAAGAGACGAGGTCTGCGTAGCGGATCCCATGTCCCAAGAAGAAGCAGTGGTGCTCCCGCCAGGCTGGGTGTGCTGAGCAGCCAGCTGAGCCAGAGCCTGGGCCGTCTTGAACTGCTCCAGGAACTGAGAACCCGTGGTACTGCTGCCTTTGGCCTCCCCGACGTCTCCAAACCCTTTCCCCAGCATGCTCACCTGCAATTTCAGCAGTGAAATAACACAGTCAACATCTCCCTTGGCTCGGAACTTGGCTCAAGAGGACAGATACATCTCTTAACATAAGCCTGAACTTGCCGTACCCTGCTGCTTCTCCCTGGGTGCCTCAGCTTAACGCTCTTGAGCTCCAGATGCACACGGACACCACTGGCAAGGAGAGCTCATACTTCTCTCTCAGCCTTTATCGCATATGAGCGTGGGTACACTGACCTGTTGCCCAACCCGTGGCATTTTACAGTGTCACGGAGACTTACAAAGAAAAGTTAACAGATGGGATCTTTAAAAAAAGACAACCACCAGGAGAACTTGGCTTTACGGTTACGGTGGTTTTGAAAATCCTTCCTGAACTATCTCGCCATTAAGGGCACAATTTTTATTTCTTTTGCTGAAATTACACAAAGAAGCATCTGCCCAGGTCTGTGCACATCCCTGATGCAGATTCAATGCCTCCTTCCTTCCCCTGTCAGTAGATGCCAGCGTTTCATCCCACACCAAACTCCCAACCAGTTCCACTTCTCAAACCGTTGAATTTGCAAGCCCTGGACTGCAAGAGTTTTTCCTTCCCTCTGAGCAGGAAAGAAGCAGTTGTTGCAAGTTTGACAAGGGCAACAGGGGAGGAATTATCCCAATTATTTCTAATTAAGCAATGGACTTCATGCCTCTATTTAGAGCAGACTGGAAAATCACCGCAGCGGTGGACTCTGCCACCCACAAGAAGCGAGCGGGTGTCAACCGTATTTCCCATTTTGCTCAAATGCAGACAGAGAACGTCAGGGAGACCAACATCTGCCAAAACCCCGGCGCTGGCAGAGCCCAGTATTTCCTTACCATGCTGTGGTGAGAGAAGGAGTTACCAGAGGCCGGCTGGGATATCGCACTCTGCTTGGAATTGCTGAACACCAGTGGCTGGGCCAGGGAAGGAGCCTGGGACGACTCCAGGTTTGTTGACTCATTCTCCATAGAAGAGGGCGTCTTTCCTAGCAGGACTGCAAGATCGATTCTGGGTACAGAAAGCAGATAACCCGCTGAGGTTAACACGAGCTGTCACACCCCTCACGTCCGTTACAGCGATACGCTACCTCCAGCCTCACAATTTATAGCTTTTACTTTACAAACGGAACGAATCTGCAGAACATAACTCACGACTGCCAGTAGCAACCTCAAAAGGACAGAGACCAAGCAAGATCCCGCATGGCCTTCTATTTTAAAGCATGTCTTCTATTAATTTAATGCAGCAAAATTCCCCCAAATCTGAAGAACCAGCAGCAGAGCCTAGGAAAAGTCTAATCCAGGATTAGGACCCGGAAACTCCTAACTCAACGTTTCCATTTAAATCCATCTCATTTTATTCAGAGCTACTGCATTTTAGCTAGCTGGCAAGGTTTAGTCTGAGATGGCAAGGTGCTCTGGGATTTTTGTGCTTTTCCCACGTAAACAGCATCGCCACGGGCTATCACCTCTGTCCAGCTGTGATTGTCACATTCTCAGCAGGCAGAGGCACTGAAGACACGTTGGAGGCGGTGAAGATCTTCGTCTCAGACAGCTGAAAAGATTAAAAAAAAGGGAAAAATAATCCAAAAGTGAGAACAGCGTCTCGGGACTTCAAGTAAAGCACACAAATGTTTGTCTCAAACAGCCACAGAAAGATGCAAGACGTTCAAGTGTTTAGACTTCAACTTCTCTAACATTTGGCTCGTATCAGAATCAGCTTCAATTTAATTTGTTTCTTCTCAGGCAAGTGCACAAATCACCTGCCAGTTTAAAAAAACCCCAAATCCTTCTACCAGTTTCCCGTGGTCCACAAATCCACTAGGGCTGCTGCGATGTTAGACGGGTGCCCTGAATTGATGGTACACAGCACTGATCTCCAAACCCCCTGCACAGGTAGAGAAGTCACAGAAGAAAGCTTCAGAGCCGTAGTTAAGCTTCCAATGATCCTGGCCTCATCTGGGTGATCTGACCAGAGACCAACAGATCTACTTCAACTATAGCGGGGAAAATAACATCGCTCAAAAATGACTGAAGCGGAGGTTTAACGACCACCTGTGATTTAGCCTGGAACATATCAGCTTTTATTCCAGACCGAGGAGCTGCCAGCAACTAAACTGCAAGAGTTTAAAAACAAAATCAGGAACCCCTGGGAGCGTATCACACACGCTGAAGGCAAGAAGGGCTATCAAAGGCTCTCTTCAAGCAGAGACCTGATTGAACAGACAGAGAAGCTGCTTGCGTCTCCAAACACAGCAGGAGCGCTTCCTTCAGACAGTGTCTGGAAAGCAAAAGCTTTCCCTTCGTGCCCGTTCTGTAGGCTTAGCAAAAATGAGCACGCAAAACTAATAATAATACTAAAAAAGCCCAACCCTGCTCCCATCTGCAAGCACAGAAGTTCTCCCTCGATTCAGAGAGGGACTGAAGCCCGTTTCAGAAGAAACTGATACGAAGGCATTAAAAGCAGGTGATAACAGCATCCATTCTCCCCTGAAGGAGATGCCAGGTAGAGACCAAAAAGCAGCGAGACACGCCAAAGAGCAAGTCAGAAGGCAAAGCCAAGAGCTTCTGTTCAATCCAAATCACAAGGACCAGCAGAGGCACGTGACACACGCACGAAACTGCTGCTGCCTCCTCCACGGCACGTGGCGTGGATCAAAGGCAAACCTTCCCCAACTGCCGCTCCACCGGAGGAGCCGTGCAAAAATCTTGTATGGAGTCAGGCCAGTTTATGGAAGAATTCAGTCATGCAGTTAGAGGAAACGAGAGGATCAGACTCGATGCCCCGGGAGATCCCTTCATGTCTTGGGCTCCTACGACAAGCTCTACTACACGTGTACTTTAGAAGCAGCGATGTTTACTTATTTATCGTAGCTCCTGGAATTGGGAGCCTGGCTTGGGCTATGCCCAGAGTTTGGGGAGGATGGGCTTTGCGCTCCTCTCGTAGCTGCGTGTGTGCAAACAGGACGGCGGCCTGCCGGCAGACGCGTGGAGGAGAGGGGTTTGGAGAGTACCTACATCTTCATTCCAGTCCTCCGTGCCCCATTCTTCTGTCGCTGCCCTCCACGCACCTACAAGGATAACAACAGGTAGAGAAGTTACGCGTGCATCAAAGCTCTACCTCCAAGAGCCGGGGAAGCACTGGGGAGCTTTGCAAGCAGCTGAGATAATTTCTATTTGCCAACCAGACAAGTTAAAGCGGTCGATGCCAACCCATGATTCACGAGCAAGGTACCACGATGGGATCGCCTCAGCCTTGCTCGGGCAGGCGAGGCTGAAAGAGAGCGACCGCTGGGCTGGCAGCGAGGGCAACGCACACACCCCGACACCGAAGAGGGAAGCTGAGCTTGGCAAGGAAGCCCCAGCGTTGTCCCCAGCCTCCTTGGGCCATTTTCCTGATTTCCCCTCGTATTGCAGTAGCTGCAAGTTTCTGCACCCATGAGCAGTTAGTGTTCCCTCAGCAGCTCGGACACAGCACCTCCTTCGGGGCCATCCTGCCAGCTCTTGCGCAGGACCTCACCACCCAGCTAAACCTTAAATTTCTATAAAACCCAGGACAACTGAACCATTCACACCGTTTGCTTTGGGTTTTTCCCCACCCCCTCCAAAAAATGTTGAAACCTCACTGCACCAGGACCTCCTCTGCACAGGCAAACGGGAATCAAAAAGGAAAATTTAAGGGACTAAGCAATTCCCATGTTTTCTGTGACCAATTTCAGAGGTACACTCAAAGCGAGTAGCTTAAAATATCAGGGAGAAAAGCAGGAGATTTCAGCCGCAATCCAGCACAGCGCAATTTGTAAGAGAGCAAAATTTACTGGGAAAAAAAGTTTTGCCTGGCCACATCTTCAACTTGTTCCGTCCCTCTCTTCAAGCACCGTTTAACCTCAGTACTTTGAATATTACGTGGTGACTTCCAAATCCATTAGACAACTTAAAATTTGGTGTGGGAGGAGAGCGGGAGCATTTTACATCCCAAAAAACGCAGAGTGTGAGAAGAGCCCTGTTTTGCGCAGTCTGTTTTCAGCCCATGCAAACCAGCTCAATAAAACCCGACACAGCCAACGGGGTTAATCCTGGAGACATCGACAAGGACGGAACAAGTTGGCATCAGCCCTTTTATAAGCTAAAAGCCTTTTACAGCATAAAAACATAGCACACAGGGAATGAGAACATGGTGGATTCTTCTGCAGACACAATCAGGCTCGCTGAGATTTCAGGGGGCAAAACCCACAGCGTTATCTTCCCATATACATTTAATTACAAGGCCAAAACATCCAGACAACTGCTTGTCTAGAAGTGGGGGATTTACTGCATGAAATAAGTATATTATCAGCGAATTATTCTTTTTTCATTGTTGTTTTGTTGGGTGTTTTGTTTTGCTTGACAAGTTGAGTCAATTCAAGAAGCCTTCCTGGATTTTTTTTTTTTAAATATTTAAGTTAGAAATATAGATATTAATAAAACCCGACTTCCTTGAGTGCCAGGAGTCTCAAGGCACGCTACTCTACCCCTTCCTCCCCAGACAGAAACATCAGGAGGAGTTCAGCACATTCAAAACCCAGATTCCACCATTCCTTAGATTTTTTTTTTGTGCCCTCACAGCAGTAGTGGGAAGGCTCCTTTCCAGATTTTCACGGATCAGAAAGATCCCACCAGCTCCACCCTTCGCCAAAAGGTGAAGGGGGAGCTGGAGGTACCTGGGTCAGCTGCAGTTCGCAGGAGAGTTGCCCCAAGAAGAGTTTGTGCACGTAGGAACGCGGCACAGGGCTCTCTGAATCTTGCTCGCTTGGGGGAAACGAGAAGAAAAGCAAAGCAGCACAAAAGCAGAAGGGAATCCTGCAGGTGAAGAGCAGCCATTGATGGGGCTTTCCTGGCAAGTCGACTTCACGAGTACCGGACACCTATTCAGCACGGCTTGTGCTCCTTGCACACGAAGGGACAGATGGAAAACCGAAGACCTGTGATGTACAACCAGGCATTCGCCAGAAATGCTCCAGAAAGCTTCCTAACCAGCACAGCGTGTTTAAGGTTTTTTTTTTTAAAGAAACTGAGTGCATCACTC